ACACTGAGCTGGGATAGTTAGACAAATGACTGAGAGGCACAGGAAATCAGGACTTTGCAGTTAAAAATCAATCAGCACTTGTCCCTCCTTCATAGAAATATTGAATACAAAAGACTGGCTACCTACCACTGCATCTCCCTGCATGTCCCTGTGAAACATAGTGTACTGTTAGTCTCTTTGGATACACTACATAGCAGCATTCCTTTCACATATTTAAAGAGATATATTGAATGTAGCTTGAATTACTTTTGCCAGTCTAAACAAAAATATACACACTCTTCTCAGTATTTATGTAGAAAAATTATTAATGACAAAACCTGTAGAAGTTCAAATGAATTATCCAACTTCAGAAATGGGATGCTGTCCCAGTATTAAATTCTTTCCATAGTGCCTAAGCTTGATGTGCTCAAATGTGTTTAGCTGTCTGTCATTGTCTATTAGAATGTGTAGTGTAGATGTAATTCTGAATGATTTTATTAAATAAGAAACACAGAGCCAAATGCAGCGTTAAAAGCCCCAGAGGCCAGAGAGCAGTAGCTAAGAGCTGAGACCAAGACTGCCTTCTTACCACCTGCTGCCGCTGCCATCCTTCCCCTTAGAAAGAGACCCACTTCCTGTGTGTCTGTCTTTTTATTGACTTTCTGTTCTGCCTTCTCATTGGTTGTAAACCCAACCACATGACCTCCTTGTCACCACCTGTCTATATACAGACCTCCAGGTCTCCATGGTTGGTATTGAGATTAAAGGCGTGTGTCTCCATGCTGGCTGTATCCTTGAACACACAGAGATGTGCCTGTCATGTGATTGGGATTAAGGGCATGTGCTACCACTGCCAGACTTCTGCTAAATAGCTTGCTATTATCTCTGACCCCCAGGGAACTTTATTTATTAATATACAAATAAAATCACATTTCAGCACAAATAAAACATCACCATAGTGTAGTAATCTTTTTTAATTCCAGATTGCTCCTTGAACAGGAATGTGTTTTGTTAGATACATAGTTGTAACCTCTCTATATATGTCTGGCAATATGACAATAAAGTAAATATTGGCAGGTATTAGTGATTAAATTATATTTTTAGTTGCTTTTGGGGTAATTTGTGATATTTTCTGAAAATACAGCAAAGTCAAGAAAAAATTACCAATAAATATATCTGAGAAGGTAGAGTACTCAAGTGATATAGAAATGATACTTCCTAAGAACCTTTACTTTCTAAAGTTCTTGGTTTTACATAGGACGGTTGTGGAACCTACATCTCTCTTTTATAATACATAACTTCATAAATAAAGACCTTATGTCAAATGTTTGCAGGAAAACAAATTTACATGTATGGTTTTTATTGTGTGCTATTTTGCAAGATGTTTTTGTGAAGATATCCCTGGAAATTATCTGATATATATAAACACCTGTGGAGTAGAGAGCAGCTCAGGATACCACAGGTAACAAAGACATTTGTTGATAACTCATATTATCAGTCCATAACAATGATCCCTCTACTATATGTTCCAATAAAAATATTTGGCTATGTAGCATGTTAAACAGTAGTGACTCTCAAGAAAAGGACCCATGAATATCTCAAGAAATGTTCATTTTCCCTAGCTATTAAGGAAAAGCAAATAAAAATAACTGAAATTTCATCAAAATCCAATTAGAATGGGGAAAAATCAACAAAATAACCAACAACAAATACTGGAAGAGATATGGGGAAAAAGGGACCCTCATTCATTGTTGGCGAGATTGCAAACTAATGCTGCTACTATGGAAACCAGTGTGGAGAATTCTCCAAAAGCTTAATGTGCCATATGACCTAGCAATACCAACTCCTTGGATTGTGTCCAAGGACTCAACATCCAACTCCACAGCCTGCTGCTCTGTTCATAATAGTAAGGAAATAGAAACAAACTAAATGTATTTCAATTCATGAGTGTATAATGAAAATGCCATACATATACACTATGGAATACTCTCTAGCTGTAATGGAAAATGAAATCATGGATTTTGTAGCTAAATTGATGTAACTAGAAAAAATCATATTGAGTGAGGTGATACAGACAGAGAAAGAGATGTCACACATTCTCAATCTCCTAGCTCCAAATTTTGAGATGTGAGTATATATCCTGTAGTAACTACAGAAATCAGGAAAGCAACAAAGGACCACTGCAGGGGTAGAGAGTTTAGAGGGGTCAATTGAGAGGGGAACAATAGTGTACAATTATTATGATCATAGAGATGGCAAAAAATGAGGAAAATCTGTTTAGGGAGGGAGGGAGGGAAGGGAGATAAATACAGGAGAAGGAGGGGGGAGTGTTAATTAACAGGATATCTGAAGAAGTCAGAACCCACACCTGCTGGTTTGACTGAGAACCTGAAACTAAATAGTCCAGGTATCTAGGGTCTAAAATCAAATAAGAAAGCAAGGAAGGAAGGAAAGAAGGAGGGAAGGAAGGAACAGAAATAAAAAGGATTAAATGACTCCTAATGACATTCTGCTATACCATACCTTAGTGCTTTGCTCAACCATCATCAGAGAAGCTTCCTCCTGAAGCAGATATGAACAAACTTAGAGATCCACAGTCAGATATGTAGAGAGCAAAGGACCTTGGAAAACTCTCCATTGAATCTCTCTCCTAAGGGCTCATGAATCCTGTGGAAGAGTTAATGGCAAAGAATAATATTTTTTTTTTAAAAAAGCTAGAAGGTATTGATGGCATTAAGAAAACAAGACTCTCTAAATCAACAAGCTCAAACTTCATATAAACTCACAGAAATTATGGCAACATGTACAGAGCCTGCATGGGTCTGTACCAGATGGTGTCAAAGGGCTGAGACATGTTCCCATCCCTAACTCAGAAGCAATCCCTAGTCGCTAAGCACTTTAAAATGAATATTTAGTTTCCTCCAAGGGAATTTCACTGGTGAACAAACTACTTTTAAGGGTAGGCTATAAGCTGAGCACTAGATGCTCAACAGAAAACAAACTCAACAGCATCTTCTTAGATTCCATGTCTCATAATGTTGTGCCTAGGCTCCTCACCCTATTTAAAATTTTTATATTATTATTTGTTAAATTTTTATTTCATTTTGTTTGTTTATTTTTCTTTTTTCTATTTAGCCTATATTTCCTTTGTGTACATATTATGGTTTCTAGTTCAGTGTTTTTATTGCATTTCTAGGTGTTGGAGGAGTGGATTTCTGTTTCTTTTGCCTTCTCTTGAACTCAATTCATTCTATTGGTGTGTTTTGTCCTATTATAACTGACAGATTTTTTTTATCTTATTTTATTTTATTATAAGCCCTTAAATAAAAATTAAATATCAGGTGACTGTATGAAAAAGTATACATCTATACATATGTGTAAGTAAATAAGCACAAAAAGAAACAATACTATTAACTTAAAAAGAAAACACACAAATCTATGAATAAATATACATGTACAGTTTAAACAATTTTCTTTTCATCTGGTAATGCTGCCTCTAAGAGACAAAGGCTCCAAATCAAGGGTAGAGAGACCTCTTTTTTCCCTTTTATTGAAAATCGATTATTTTTCTCACATAACATATCCTTTTTATAGTTTCCCATATCTCTGCACCTCCCTGTTCCTCATCATCTACCCTTTTGTCCAGATCCACTCCCTTTTTGTCCCTCATTAGTAAACAAACAGGCTCCTATGGGATAATACTATAGTAAAATTTAATAAAACAAAAATGAACATATTGGAATTGAACAATGTAGCGATAATGCCTGTGCTACCACCACCCGTTTACCATGTCCGAGGGAGGGGCTGTGGATCAAAAAACAGAGAGAAGACATCGGGTCATTTGTCTCAGCAGAATGCCGAATGCCATATATTGAAAGAGGGAAGAAACCTTAAATACAGGCTTACAGCACAATGGAGGATCCCCGGAGGGCAGAAGTTCACTACCGATGTTCTACATACTTGCATCTAAGCTGTTTACACCAAATGCAGGATACACAAACAAAGAACCTCCAGTGAGCCTTCAGGAAGAAGGAAACTGGCAGCAGGGCATCAGGAAAGAGCCCAAGAGAAAAAAAGAGTGAAAGACTCACTCATTTGCACATTCAGGAATGCCATAAAAACACTACACTGAAAGCTGTAATATAAGCACAGATGACCTGGTGCAAGACATTTGCAGACTTTGTGCCTGAAGCTGCAGCCTCTGAGTTCATATGAGCTTTGATTATGCTGGTTTACAGGGCCTTGTTTTATTAGTGTTCTCTATCTTGAGAGGCCCTCTTTTGAGTGGTTCCTTAGTATTGGCCAAGAAGCTCCCCATATGTTATAGACTATTTGTCTTGTCGTTGGTTAGCCCCTAGAAGTTGGAGGTAATCCTGACTGAAGACACTGTACACTCAAGAAACAGGGCCCAGAGATCTCTAAGCTGAAGCTAACCTTAATGCCTCCTCCCTGGAGACCAGTTTTCATGGTACCAGAAGATGCCATGCATGCTAGCAAAGAAGGGATGTGACTAACAGTGCTAATTAGCTATGATGGCACAATAACCCTAAAGATGCAATTGTGTCACAAGTACTTTCACAGTAACCAACAGCTTTCTAATTGGATTTTTGACTCAACGAGGAAAAACATGAATATCAAACTAGATATCAACTTCTCTGTGCTAGTGAAGACATGGACCTTACAACCACCATGGATAATTTACAACCACCATTTTACTACACTCTACATATTTGTCCTTATATCTCACCCTTCATTAAGAAAACATCTCTTTTCAAAAAAGCTTAGCAAACTAAAATGAAGAGTTTTAAATGCAAGTCCTAATGGATACATCTATAAAACAACCCTTCCATCTAAGGCTCAGGGAACATTATAGTAAGAGCAAGAGGAAGATTGTTAAGAGCTAGAGAATCAGGAGTTTGCTGGAATACTGTGTTTCTTTTCTCTCTCTCTCTCTTTCTTTCTTTCTTCTTTGTTTTTTTTGTTTGTTTGTTTTTTGCCTTGTATCACAGAAAAAAGTTTTATTTTGTATTTATTCGTGTTCTAAAATATTTTTATCACATAAATCTTATGCCTATGTAAAGAATGTGTGAAATAAACTGGTTAAGTTATAACTATAACTTCACATTCCAAGTCCCCTTCTTCCCAACCATTTTTCAAATTAGTCATAGGGATCTGCATATTTTCCCAAACATGTCAAGAGTGCTGGCAATTCGGCATTTCCTGAAGGGGTGCTTACCACTGCCTTCCGTCTAACACCAGCAGGCAGCTTCGGAGAAAACGTTTGAGGTCTTAATGGCAGTCCTCTCCATGAAGTAGCCACACCAGTCTCTCCTTGCTTTGAATTCTGATATATCATTTCTGAGGATTTTGGCAATTTCTCCTGCCTTCGACTGCAATTGCTTGGCGGGAAGAAGACAGGCAACTGTTTTGCAAGTGCCCCACTGACAAAATGTAGCATAGCTTCGTCAACTTGTGGGTATCTTCCTTTCTTCAGTCCTGTAAAGCTTTTTGTTGTTTCTTTGCAAGGGAATACAGAATTGTGATCATTTCTCCAGCAGCAAATGTTGGCATCATTCACATCAAACACGTTCCACTGCTGTCTGCATGGTTTTCTGCATATACAACAACCTTCCGTTTCAATGCCGATTCATAGTACTTTTGAAGATATTTTAAAAATGTCAATTAAACCCGATATATTTGATACCAACAATATCCACATCAGCTGAGGTAATGACATTGTAACAAGCTGCAAATTCACACATGCATGAACTGGAATAATGACAAGACCATCACCTGGTTGACAGTAATGAGATGCTCCCCAATTTATGAGAAGTCAAAGTGTCAAGAAAAGGGTACATTTTATGACTAATAACATGTTTTTTCAAGCCTAAAATGTTTACAGATTTACACCAGTGCAAAAAAAAATAAGCCAAAGAGTAAGTATGTTAAGTAGACCCAGTGAAGCAAAATATCCAAGATGAAATCTGTAATGGTCCAATTTGATTTAAATTCCTTTTATTTCTATATGGCTTACATGTAAATCTTTTTTGAACTGGATATAAATCCAATTACAAATGTTCCTCAGTCACTTAATAACTTTCAAAGCTAGGTCACTAAAGACAGAGGCTCATAACTGCCTTAGACCATATTCTAGTGTGGCAGGTGTCTGGTCAGTGGCCTTCATCAGTGGGCGCCCTCCTCTGACGAGCAGATCTGATCCTGTGTGGTGAAGCTGAAGGGTCCTCTTCTGTTTCAGACCCTGAAGGCTCATGATCTCCTTCCTGGGATCCTGTGTCTCCCACCAGTTCCCGTAGAAACTTGAATTTAGATAAAAAGAGATGCCATACAAAATACCAACCGCACACCATCAGCAGCAGGACGATCAGCAGCGTGGCCACGAACACCAGCAGGGTCAGCCCCACATTGTGCCACATCTTGAGAGCTGAAGGGTGGACGCGGGCTCAGCGGCGGGCGGCAGAGCGGCTGGGCGGCATGGGTGGCGGGCGCCCGAGGGCAGCGCCCCCTTGTTTGTTTGTTTTTAAAGACAGGGTTTCTCTGTGTAGTTTTGGTGCCTGTCCTAGATCTCGCTTTGTAGACCAGGCTGGCCTCAAACTCAAAACTTTCAAAAGTAAAACAAAAAAATGAAAACAAAAATACTCAGAAAATGTTAAACTAAAAAAAATTGTATAGTCTAGCAAATAAAATAAAAGACTGGTGATTTTTTCTAAAACATTTTCTGTCATCAAGACTCTCTTCAAATTTTTTTAATTCAAGATCATCTTGAGGAATAAAATTTTTTGTGAAATTTATTGAACTTGCTTGTCCTAAAGGATTATATGATTCAAATGAATAAAAAATGCGTAAAATAATTTTTTAAACTCCATTTTGCACTTGAAAAAGGAAACAAACATGACAAATCCCATGTTTTATAGGGAATGGTTATGTGTTGGAGTGCTAACTTGCAGCTGTGCATGACAAGAATAGAAATGCATTTAAAAGAAGCACTTACATGGGAGTAATTCGGTGGCTATTTCCCATTGAATTAGAGATACTAAAAGAAATGGTTTACTAACTGAGCTAAGTAGTGGTCTTTTTTTTTTCTTTTATTCATAGACAAAATGTACCCACCTTCAAAAATATAGAATGCAATTATTCTACTTTTTATACCCATATCAAAATTGGTAAAATAAGGCTATGAATAAGACTAGGATTTTTCCCTAAGTATCATTGACTTTGAGTATGTTTTAATGATAGGGGATACTGTACTCAGTACTCAGTATTTTATACCATAAATAAAGACACATTGAAGAGAATTGTGCATGTTTTTGTAAGAAATTGCTTTGTGCTTTCTCAGATACATATATTTCCTAGTATAGTTTTAGGAATCAAAAATTAATTTTAGTTAGATAAAATTCACCAAAATATATGTACATGTGAAAGACAATTTCAGGAGAGAAGCTGTGTCTGCAGAGACTGATTGACTGACTAGAAATGAAGCACTGTGGAGAGGATGCAATGTTGCAGGTTCAGAGGCTAATTACTTCAACTTAGGCTCATTATAGCCCTCTAGAACAGTCATTCCCTTGCCCACCTCGGTGTTAGCACTAGCATCCTGTGACTAATGGATTAAAAACCATTCAGAATCTATTAACTTAGCAGACCATTAGCTTCCACCATCCCCATACCCAAGAATGCCATCAGATAGGAACTTGAGCCTGTAGGAAAATCTTTCTCCATCTTGATGTGCCTACCTCTTTAATGTACCCATCAATGTATTTTTTAAAATGACTTGATTTATTACTTTCTTAGTTCTGCAGAGCTATACAACTTCATCAAAATACTTTCATGTTGCAACATAGAAACAGGGGTAACATAAATTTGTTTTCCAGAGTCATATTCACTCAAAATGACTCCAGAATAAACTATATCTTATTCCCTTTAAGATGAGAGCTTTTGGTTTTATGTCAACATGTGGCTTTTGAAGTTTACTTTCATAATGTCCATGGATCTTCTTTAAATATTGAAATCATTCAACCAAAGCACTTCACATCAACATCAGGGGGAAAGTAAAGTAGTTTTGGGTTATTGGGGAGCAACTTGCTGAAGACAAGTGGGAGATGAGTTGGTGGTTTATACAGAAAGAAGGCAGTCTTTGCTTGCTTTTTTTTTCTTACATTAAAATGAATGTGTCCTTTCTCTGTTCTTATAACCTATCTATGGCTCTTACAATATCAGTATTAGGTAAAATAAAACCACAGGAGCTTTCAGAGTATATTTTACATAGAAAAACTCCCTAGCTTTATATCTAAAATGTATATTTTATTCATAATTTATTAAAATTTCCAACTGTCAGTTCTTTTAATAGTGTTTCTTGATTCTGACTGAAAAGCAAAGAACTTGCACGGGGTATTGGAATTTAAAGTGATTAGACTTTTCCTAGGACAGGATATTCCTACTCTTTATAGAATTAAGATTTGTTTATCCAGGAGATAATTCTAAACTTTGTGGGTTATTCACTGCTATTGGAATAGAATGGATAGCAATGTGAAATAACTAGCTGGCACTATACAGATAAGGATTCATTGTGTAGTAAAATATCAATCTTTCTGAGGATCTGAGAAGAAAGGAAATGTCTCTCAATGCTTGTTTGGTAGCTGGTCTTTTCCAGTATGTGGTTTCAATAAATATGTTTGCTGTTGTGACAATGAGCACAATAATTCTGGCCAGGAGTTAACAGCATTAAAGTGCCTCTAAGGTCATCTTGGGGCACACTTTCTCAGTTTACTGAATTTTACTGAACACCTTTTCTAAGTGTTAGGATTTTCCACAGGGCAAATTTTGCCTGTGTAGCATAAAAGACAAATACTTTCCCAGGTCTCCTCTGAGTTTAGACATAGGAATAGGATCTTAGCAATAACACTTTGATATAGCAGGAGATTTCAATTTAGAGAAGCACGCTATACAGAAGTAGGCTGTGTATAAAATTCATTCTTCTGAGGAGGGAAGGCGTGGTGGGAACACAGAGCACTTGCAGAGGCATCTGTGACCATGTCTGCAGGGATGTCTTGTGCTGGTGTTGACCTTACAGGTTGCAGAGCATTGTCTCAGTGGCTGTGTCACTACAGACTTCACAAGGTAGTCACAATGATGGATTTGAGGACTATTCCTGGTTTTATAGCCCCAAAGCCTCATGTTGTGAGTTCTGAGATTTCCTCTAAACTGTCTTTGCATTCTCTCCCTGCTTAGATAGCTAAGTAAGATGGATTCTATTGATTACCACCAATAACTATGACTAATATGGTCATTCTGAGTGTTGTAGAACTAGTTCATGTTACCCTCATCAGATCTCATTTCTAATAAATGGAAGATTCTGATAATTAGGCCCATCCTACTGTATTTTATTTTATTTTATTCTAACTAGGAATTGAATACTGAGGTTTTGAGACCACAAGTAGAGTGGTAGTATTGTAAGACTGCATTGACTTTTCAGTCAAAATTATCTCCACAATAGAGTTGTTTGATGTGGTAAATAAAAATGTGCTAGAGGCATAAATACTGAAAAGATGGTTCTCATGGAATTCAAATTTAAACGAACCTTCTGTATTTTGTCTGACAGTAGCAAACAAAATATACAAATAGGCAAAAATAATGAATAAAACAGAATTTCTATGCCATAAGCACATTATAGTTGCTCAATCTATTATTATTGTCTGAAGTCAAGTGTCTACTAAGTAGCATAAGTAACATACATAGGGGTCACAGATATTTACCTCAATACTATTAAATTACTTGAGGAAAAAAACTAATTATTATTATGAATGTCTATTTGACTTGAAATAAATTAATATTCAAAATACAGAGTGGACCAAAAACATTCTCTCTCAAAAAATAATGTAATGCCAAGTATTATTTCTTTATACATTTATATCTGTAATTTTTGTCAAACACAAAATTTATCTAAAATGATAAAAAGTCTATGTATCCTTGAATTTAAAAATTGTCATTTTATATACTTTAAGGAAAACAGTCAAATTCTATGTTTGACAAATATGTTTTGAACATTTTTGGACAATTATTTCAGGTCATATAAAATGCCAGAGAAATACTGTATCATAGGCATATTTTACACATCACCCAAACATGCTGAGAATTTTCTTCCTCGTCAGATTTAATAAATTAATAATCTTCATTTAGTAGTAGCTTGCAAAATCTGCATGTATGAGTTATTTGCACTTCTTTATATATTTACAAAAGAATACAAAGGTAATTAAGTAAAAATATGATGTGTCAGCCCAGCTGAACAAATACAAATGCATAATCTTTTGCAAGCATGCTACATATTACCTACCTCTGTAGACAGGCACATTCTGCCCATACAGAAGCAAGAGTCTGACAGTTGGGAGATGAAATTAAATTCCACACACTTTGGAAAAACAAACCAACAAAAAATATACATCCTTTTAAGTCAGAAGAAAGGTCGTCTCAGTATTATAGATGCAGTATGCAAAGCAGGAATGGAAGAAGGGGAAATAAAAATGTCAGCTCTTCTGCAGTAACATTGCTGCTTGATTCATGTAAACAGGTTTGACAATGACAAATACACTTTGTTGAAATGCTGGCTAACCCTTGATGTCTAAAACTTACAGAGTAACATCTAGAGACAGTTTTTATTTTAAGGAATTGATATTTCAGCCCAAGATGAAAGCACCAAAGGTTGTTTAAGTGTGAGATGTGTATGTTTGTAGGTACGTGTGTGTGTGTGTGTGTGTGTGTGTGTGTGTGTGTGTATGTGTGTGTGTGTGTGTGTGTGTGTGTGTGTGTGTGTAGTCTAGAAGTAGACCTATATCCTATTTCTTTGTCAAGCATGGTCTATTCGGATGAAAAGGAATTGAAACAAGCTGTTGCAGTCTCTGAGCAGCTTTGAATTTTCTTATAGCTCATCTTTACAGGAAGGCTTACAGCCTTGACTGAGACCTAGAAAGCATGTAATTGTGGCTGTCATAATAAAGCCTTAACAGAAAGAGTAAGACTATGAGCTTGCCTGACTTTTGACACGGTAGCCAACTCCTCTGTACTGTATTCATAGACTCACTCTATCATCTTTAACAGAGCGATGGATTTTGATGATAAAAGACTGTAATTGCATTCACTGCAATATGCATTTAAGCTGTCATCCTTCAGCTGCTCATTTTGTTACATCTTCACTTTAGCAGAGCTATTATCAATGAAATCAGAGTGTGCGGTACAGAGGCATTCTATCTAAAAGATATGCAAAACCCCATCCTAGTTTACAGTCTACTCTTTACAGCTCTGAGGTTAGATGACGATGAAGAGACAGAGGCAGTTGTGGACCTAGAGATTCTGAGATGCTCAGGCAGCAGCAACTGTGGATTATCAGAGTCTCAAACATAGCAGAAAGGCTTCAGGAAGATCCGGGCTTGTGGTAGACCTGACTCCAAATCAGTTAAAAGGTGCCACGTGTGTGCCATCAATTGTGATTTTCATCTGAACCATTCCAAAAGTTCAGGGTGCGTATCCAAAGCTGCTCTGTGGTAACAGGAAGTTTTGCTTTGGTTTTGCTCTTCATATGTGACCGGAAATTCCTGAGAGCTACGTAGAATGTTCAAGGGTTCCAAGAGACATGTTCAGGGGTGGGTAAGTCTTCCTTTTATCAACTATCATATGAGGACAATTTTTCATATATGTCAAACAAACAAACAAAAAATAAGACTGTATATAGAAGCAAATGTGAAAAATCTACTTTATATTAAAACAAATTTTAATGATACTTTCAAAAATATAAACCATGAAATTTTTCTTTTTTTTGTTTTTGAAATTACTGTTAATTTTTATAAAATGTCATTTTTCTTTATATTGAAGCTTGTTGATTATTCATCTTAAATATATATAGTCTTTGCTTATATTTTATTTTCATAAATTATGAACAGCTATAACTTGTATAGACCAAAGCACTTTGGAGTCTTCAGTACATTTTAAGATTTAAGGGATCTTCAATATGTAAAAAGAATTTTGTTGTACTTATTTATCTTGACTGTGTGTGTGTGTGTGTGTGTGTGTGTGTGTGTGTGTGTGTGTGTGTGTTTGCGCGCACGCGCACACATGCATGCATGCATGCATGCAGTGGCATAGGTGTCAAGGTCAGAGGAGTCATTTCTTTCCTCCCACCATGCAGATTCCAAGGACAGAACCCAGGTTGTCAGGTTTGGCCTTAACAAACTGAAACATTTTGCTTGCTCAGTGCATAATATTTTGGAGAAAAACAAACAAACACTGAAAACTGCTTTTTAATATAGTCCTTTCTGACATCCAACAAGATCATCTGTGAAATGCTGCATTCAGCCCGAATGGTGTTTATTTACTTATGTTAATTTAAACAAGTGTATTTGATGAGTTATATAAATGTGTATATGTATATATACACATGCATCCATACATACAACTTTATTTAATAAAGCTAAATTTTTCTTTATTCTCACAAATTCTTCAGGTTTCAAACTTACACCATATCCTTTTTTCTTTCAGTTGGCATTGCTGCATATTTGTTTCTGTCTCTGTGTCTCTAGAGATATTTGAATCTGGAGTCTCCATTCTGAAAGGTCACTAACTTCTGTTTCATCTATAAACTGGTGATGAAGGTTTTGTCTGGTATCTTATAGGAAATTTTGGAGGCTAAAATCAAATTACGGATACCAGAAATGTGAATGTGTGGAAATAACACAGTGCATGGTACAAGAAACTGACAGAAATCATCATTACTCTGATTACTATTATGATTACATCATTTTTTAAAGGAAGTTTAAACATGAAATTGAGGAGGTTTATAACCCAACTGAAGATTTCCAGTTTCTTGAACAATACATATTTTCTCACGGTGTGTGTTCTTTTCTTTTGTCAATAGAGTGAAGAAGAATCGTAATGAAATGAAAGCAGCATAGAAACTAAGACAAGGACTTCTGGTCAAGAGATTGGGAGTCCTGTGGTGCTCAGATGCTCTTTAGTAACTAGCTGGAAAAGCATGAATAAATAACTCAACTTTCCTTATCTCATTGTTTTTGCTACATCTTTAGAGTGAGGTTATTGGATTGCAATGATTTTATAAGAACAGGAGAATATGTTTTCTTCTCATTTGTAATACTGGTGCTTTTCAGAGTCCGTACACATTGTCTAGAAATCCAGAACAGTTCTGGAAAATGTTATAGGAACTTTTTAATCATTTCAGATGAATAGACTGATTTAAAAAAACACAATTATAAGGTAGCTTCTGTAAACCAAGTTTATACCATGCTGTAGGGAACAAAGTGTTTCATAATTATGAATTTTTCAATAATTGACACAAACTTCTTTAAGATTCACAAATCTGCTTTGGTTTCTTTTTCTAGGAATTATTTCTTTACAAACATACCTTACTTTTTAACATCTTTGAAACAGCAGCTATAGGGATTTAGAGCTCCTCTTTATTGTTCAGGTCTTTGCCTCACGGTTTTCTGTTCATAGGGGAGGGATTTCCACAGTGCCTTCTAAACCATCATGTGGCCAATGAACTAGTTCTGTAGTTTCAATAAGTAATAAGTAAAATTTTTTTTTAAAAAATTGTGGTTATGTAGCCAATGAATCAGTTTTTCTGTGACATTTATACTTTAAACATTAAACTAATTAAATCACATTTTGCTAAAGCCACAAGTATGTCTTATTTGTTTTTAAATTTAAAAACTCTTGAAAATGAACTATTGTAAAACTATTAATGAAAAGTACAAATATTTAATGTAGTTTATAATTAGTATTTTATTTTATAAAATGTATTTTTTTTTTTTTTTTGGTTTTTCGAGACAGGGTTTCTCTGTGTAGTTTTGTGCCTTTCCTGGAACTCACTTTGTAGACCAGGCTGGCCTCGAACTCACAGAGATCTGCCTGCCTCTGCCTCCCAAGTGCTGAGATTAAAGGCGTGCGCCACCACCTTTTATAAAGTCTTATGAAACTCATAAACTATATTATTTCTTTATCTCAAGTAGATTTGAAACATAAATATTATTGTCATTGAATTGGTTTTATATGTGGATGTACATTTGTCACAGAAATGTTACTAATCCCTGGGAAGAAAGAGTTCTCTTTCAGACTGAATAATATTAAATCAAGAATGTTTTACTTTCTGGGGTTTCCTGATTTCAGTTAATCACTGAAGATTTTTTATAGTACTAGTCGTAAACTAATTGGGATGTGTTTTTCCTTAAATATCTATTGGTTTAATACATGGATTAAATCAAATACTGATAGAAAATATATAGAAAAGGCTGTACTGATCATAAATAGATTTTTCTTGTAATTATTCTATAAATAATGCACTATTGCAACTACTTACATAGTAATTAATATTGGGTACTATAAGTGAACCAGAAACAGTTTTAAACATATGAGAGAGTATACCTGTTACTTGCAAATGCTCTCCACTTTATCATAGGGAACCTACATAAGTGTAGATTTTAGTATTGTTGAAATTCTTGGACTTTCTCCTAGATGAGGAGGGCTGTGATTTGAATTGAATATAATTTATGTGTGTGAATATATTTTGAAACATTTATTCTGTACTTTTTTCATGAACTATATAACATTTGTTATGTTATATGTTATACTTATCATGTTATATCATGTTGACTGGAATCTTTTACCCAAATAACTACTCTAATTAATATACATTTAAATTGGTAAGTTGGTTAGTAGATGAACATTCATTTATTTTATTTTATTTCTCCTTTTGATACATTTTCAAGTAGTGTTAAACCTTATTATTTTGTTGACTTTATGACAATCACAAAAATGTTCCAAGACCATCTAGATTTTTATTCCTTTTAAGTACATGGAAACAACTCCTGAAAGATCAGTGATTTCTTTTAAGAGAAAATGAATTAAAGAAGAAAACCATGTAGAAAAATGTGTATGCCTATTAGGACTAGATAAAATACTTAAAGCTAGGAAAATCAATGACAATTCGGAAATATTCTGGTTATGGTCATGATTTTACATTGATATTTACAGCTTGTTTTGAATATCTTAATTTCTTGACATAGCATGAAACAATTATTTTTCTTGTTAACGTGATTGTGTAGAAGGATGTATAGATCACTAACAAAGCTACAGGATGGTGGTGGCATATGTCTTTAATCCCAGTACTCAGAGACCAATCTGGTCCACAGAGAGAGTTCTAGGACACATAAGTCTGCACAGAGAAACCCTGTCTCTGAAAACAAACAAAAAAGCAAGCAAATAAAACAAAACTAGCAAAGCACATTTCTGGGTGTGTACATCAATCTTCTTTGAACATACTCTCAGAGAAGTGTGGCCAGAGAAGATTGACATATGGCACAGAAAACTGAGTGGAGAAGACAGTCCCTAATGTGGGCAGCAATGTATACGAGGCTGGGCTTGGCTTTAATAATAAGTGGAAGAAAAGGAAAGTTTGTTTTGCATGTCTTAAAGTTCTATTCTTTAAATGAGTTATTTTTTCTTTTATGTGATTGTATTTCCCATGCACATCAGACTCCAGATTTTTCAGTGGTTAACATCCAGGTTCTCACAGTTTCTTCTCAAAATGCTTTCTGCTTAGATTGGGCAGAACTACTGGTGTCTCTCACTCTGAGGCTGTCAGCTTCTGTACTGAGCAGATAACGTTTTCCCTAGCTCTTTCACCTGAATATGGTCACTATGGGACTATTTGGCTTCTGAGGGGGTCAGCCAATCTAACACATCTTCCCCTATAATCAAACATAGTTATATTCTTCGATTCTGTTCCTCTAGAGAATCCTGACATATACCAAGATCATTCTTATAGTTTAAGATTTTAAAACCATAATTTTCTAAAACATAAATTATTTTAGAACCTAAATTTGAGCTACAGTACTCCTGTCTGATTTCACATTTTAATTTTTACCTCTCATCACTTTCTGTGGAAGAAGTAACATTATTATAAAAGTGTTATTTTGCTCTTATGTGATATGATAATAGTTGAGGTCGTTTTGGCATGACAGTTTTATATATCCTGAAAGAAAGTGGCCCAAGGCTGCTCCACTTTTTAAGGTGACTTCTTTCCCCATGATTTTGTCTTTGTGAACTTTCATTAAAGGTTCAGTCTCATTTCTTTTCTTAGTCAGATTGAAACCAGTCGCATAGAGAAAGGTCTGATGTTCACCAAGCAGCCACAGATGTTGGTGGAATGAATTCACAGTGAACTGAGAACCCGGCCTGCTCTCTACTTACAGGTAAGGCCACGTCATTTACCCTCTAGCCTAGTTGCTTTACCAGAATACTACTTCATTGTAATGCTAAAGCTGATTGGCCCTCATTACTGTGGAATGTAGGTTTTTCTGGACCTTGTCAGATGTAGGGGAATGTTGCTCAGCTAAAAATAAGACAAATATGGGAAAAGACATGGTTGGACATAGGTTTAAAAATCTGGTAAATCATAGTCACTTACTTTGTGACACCAGTCTTCTTGAATGTTGTCTTCACCTTAGTATTTAGTAGCATGATTTTCATGTGACTGCTCTCCTGGCCCAGGATCATGAGGCTCTTTATCATACTGTGATTTCCATCTCTATTTGGTATCTAAAGACAGGCAGAAACTTTCAAAATAATATTACAAATGATAATGGATACTTAAACAGTAGTTACAGAATTTACAAAGACTATCACTAGCTAGTTTGCAAATTAAGTAGTTTTTCCTCCAGAACCATAGACTACAGCTTTGAAGAAATGGATCTTCTGCTTGCTGCTGTGCTGGGGCATCTTTCTGGATTTATCTTGGTCCTTCATGAAATATACATACCTCATTCAGAGAAGGATGACAATTTTTGTTCATGGATTTGGCCAGGATTCTATAAAGTGGAGGATGGCTTCAATCGAACCTATTCTGGGTTATTATACAAGAAGAGTGATAAACTGGCAAATAACTCTACCAGTCAGGTAATTTCTTGATGCAAACCCCTAACTTCAATAAAATTCCGTGAAACCAGGTAGGGGATTTCAAATCTGAGCATGCCTCTTTACCTGGAAGATTTGCTCAGCTACACATTACTTAGGTCCCAGTCATAATTCTGAAATCAAAATGCCTCTAATGGAGTCTAAGAAGTTATATAAAATTTCCAGGTCATGGTTTAAGAACCACATAGACATCTGTAAAAGGCAGTGGATACTCATACTGAGCATAATTGGGGATTTCCAGCTAGCTTGTGGATATCTGACTGCAAAAGATATGTTCAGAATGCCTATAGAAAAACTAACTAGCTAACTGACTAAATAAATAAATAAATAAATAAATAAATAAATAAATAAATAAATAAATAAATAAAACTAAATAAATAAAGGTGAGGTGAATAATAAGGCTACTTAAAAATCGTATTGTCCTGATTTAAAATCTAGAGAGAACATAGAATCTGTTCCTATAGCCAGCTTTTATATTAGGAATAACTCTGGACAATTGAGATTCTTTTTGTGTGTGGTTGTTCCATTAACTCATTACCCACAGGGCTGATGCCAAAAAGAAAAAAAAACAGAAAAACAAAAAACACTTAAGTATCAATTCAATGATGCACACAAGAGTTAGTCACACTTAATCAATTTTATTGGCAGCAAATAATTGCTTTTAAAATTCCAAGAAGGGGTATCAAGTAATTAAATAAATAAATAAAATCCAAATCCATAGTGTTCTTTTAACTGAGTTGCCTTTCCAAAAAAATCAATTTTGTGTTTCCACAAGTTAGTGAGTAAGTATCTAAAAATCACTATCAGTTTCTATTTGCTGAGAATGTTGAAAGCTGTTTAATTTCTTCTGTTCAGAGGCCTTCTTTAGAACTGTGACCCCCAGGTGAAGTTTTACAGCATTGTAATTTCTGGGCTTCCAGACCAGCGCTCTCATTTCTCAGATGGAGAGCTCACTCTCAAAGATAACTTCCTTTCCTTTTAACCATGGAGGGTGCAATATACAGTTAGCAACCCACATCCTCTCCTGACATCCCACAGCCTCATTACATTCATAGAGTGATGCTGATGTCATTACTTCTCAGTCTCTGTCTCCTGTGAACACTGTGATCCCCATGAGACATGTCATCCCCATCGCTACAGTCGATACTCATTTGCTCTCTTCAAGGTCCACAGCACCAGCCTATAATACTGCATCAGCTACAGTCACATTGTCAGAGTGGTTAAGTGAAAAGAAAATTTCTGATCTAAAAATCATTTGGCTGCTAGTTCCTGTGTACTTACATCCTAAGCAAAATAAATATCAATTGTCCAAATTTCTATTAATCAGTTAAATAATAAACTATTAATAATAAGCCAAATATGTATGGACAGTGAAAAAATCATAAGCTGCAAGTCAATATTAAGTATTTAGATTCATTTAATTTGAAATTATCTGAATTTGTGAATAAATTATCTCTAGGTTACAAGTTACTTTATAATACAAATTAAAATAGAGTTTATAGACTATTTTTCTCTGAATTCTATCATTTGTTAAGATTATTCTTATTAAATAAATGAGAAATTGGGGAATTTCAAATAACTCCATATAGATCCCCAAATCAATCACCTTGAAATACAGTAAAAATAACTTTTATTAATTCTGGTTTTTTTAGTATAATTACATCAATTATCTCTTCTCTTTCCCCCCTCCAAAACCTCCCATATACCCTTTCTTTATTTTTTTCAAATTCATGGCCTCTTTTTCTTTAATTGTTATTTTATACATATATACACATGTATATACATATAAATCCCTAAATACAACCTTCTCAGTGTGCGTAAGGCTACTTATATGTATGTTTTCAGGGTTCACCATTTGGTAATGGATAACCAATTGGTGTGCTCTTTCCTACTATCAGCATTCTCTAGTTGCCTTAAAGTCTCACCAGCATGACTATCAAAACACGAGCTGACCAACAAAAACAGTTGTACATGTTAAATTGAACAAGAGAAAGACCATGAGGCCTCAACTGTAGACAATGAAATATTTTTAAGATTTAATTATATTTATGTCTATGTTTATGTCACATGTGAGGATACCTGAGGAAGCCAAAAGAGGATTTCAGATACCATGGAGTTGGAGTTGTCAAAAAGTTGAGAGACAACCAAAGTAGATACTAAAAACTGAAGCCAAGTCCTCTGGAAGAGCAGCAAGTACTCTTAACTTCTGAGTTATATCTCCTGTGCTGGTTGAAACCACATGAAGTTAGATTTTTAAAAGTTATATAAATGCCAGTTCAAGTTAAGTTTTGTTACCAAGAAAGTTGTTAAGCACTTTTAATTTTCAGATTTTTTTTTAATTTATAATTGTAGGTAAGAAATTGTGAGTTTGTAAATGTCCATAAAATGATAACAATTCAAAAAATGTAAATTATTGGAGCATAGTCACAAAATTGGGAAATTTTCTTGGTAATTGCATCAAAGTGAAAAAATGAAGCTTTCTGCATTATCATGAGTGCCACCTGTATCCCTTTCAATGGCATGATTGAAGTAAGTGGATTAGATGTAGCTTCAGTTTGCTTAATCTTGAAAATATAATGTGTATAATAAAGTGTGTTAAGTGGCACCTTACAGACAAGGGAAATCCAATAATTGACCAATTACTTTCCCTCACTAGTAATTTTGTTGATGCTAAATCTTATAGAATTTGTGTAGGACAGATTCTGGTGATGAAAATCTGCATATCAGCTCAATAGTGTCATGTAAAAGGGCTACTGGGCAGCATGTCTTCTAAATTACACATGTGAATTTTTCACAGGGAAATATATTTTGCTGCAAAACAAAAGAATTTAAGAATTGCCTGTTTACCTTGTTTTTATCTGCTGTATATAAGGCTATCTATCTATCTATCTATCATCTATCTATCTGTCTTTATCATCTATCTGTATCTACATAGATACAGACATACATATAGATACCTGAGCACAGGCTATACATGACTGCTCACCAGTTTTAAGCAAAAACTGGTGATGGTCTAGAAAACAGAATCTAAAAAAAGAAATGCTCACATATATGATCGCTTTATTTAGAATATTACAGGCAAGAAAAGTAAATGGGAGATACTATTAGATAGATAAATGAAAAAAATTACCTTATTCTTTCCCCTGTAATAAACACAAACATTACTTCAAAATGGCCTGTAGATGAAAATATTCAAGCCTAAAATATAAAAATATTATGAGAAAATGTTACTGGTGCTGTACAAATCAGGTCTTCATATATACAGTTTGCATCTTACTCCTCTTATTCTGTTCTGATCATAGTCACAACTTACTTGGTGCCACTCACATACTATTGTTTTATGACTTGAAATCAGATATGGTGATCCCTCTATTATTATTCATTTTGTGAAGGATTGGTTTGGCTATTCAGGATTTTACTTTCATCCCTATAAATTTGAGGATTGTTTGTTGTTGTTGTTGTTGTTTCTGAAAATCAATGGAGATTTGCACTGAAACTATGGATTCCATCTAGCAACTTAATCTTTTTCACAATATGAATTCTGTTGATTCATGAACATAAAAACCCTTTCATCTTCTATGGTCTTCTTTAATTTCTTCAGCATTTAAAAATTTTCATTGTAGATGTCTCACTTCCTTTGTTAGGTTCAGAAGAGAGGTTTAACTAGTGCTTGAATTTTATTGTTTGTTGTAATATACTTAAGATGGCTATGTCCTTTTGAATTAATTTTGGAAGGTCACCTGTGTCTAGAAATTTATCAGATTTTTTAATTTTCCAGTTAATTAGGAGAAAGTCTTTCAAATATGTCTTAATGATCTGAAATTTCATGGTCTTTGTTATATTTTCTTAATTTACAATTTTAACTTTATTTGCTCATTTTTCTCATTTGTTTAGTTTGACTAAATACTTCTCTATCTTATTTCATAACGACTCAACTTCTGGCTCTATTGATAATTTTTTTTCTCATTTCTACCTTTCAAATTTCTACCTTAATCTTTATTGGTTTGCTGTTGTTGCTTTTTTACTAATTTTGGGTTTAGCTTCTTCTCATTTTCTCATTGTTACAGAGGGCCATCATTACTTTATTTGAAGTGTATTTTTACTATGGTCATTTTCAGTTATACACTTTTGAAATTCCACTTCTTTTTTTCTTCTATTAATTAAATTTACTTATTTTACAACTCGACTGTAGTTTCCCCTCCCTTCTCTCCCCCAGTCCATCTCCCCACTTCCTCTCTGCCGCCCCTCCCCACCAGACCCCTAATTAACTCCTCCTCTG